ACTAGTTTCGACTTATGGCGAAACCTTTTGACTTTCGCACAGTTGCGAAACTCTCTAGTTTTGGAAACCAACATTAAAGCCAAAAAAATTTTGGTCCTTTTATAGTATGTGGTAATCAAGATATATATTATATAAACTCTATATTATATGTTGTTAAGTATATAAATATAATTGGATTTGGTCAGAATAAGCTATGAAATCAACCCCTTGTCAATCTAATCAGTCCTGACGAAAGAAAGAAAATTTTTAGAAGAAATTTCCTTTGAATTTAGACAAGTAATAAAAATAAACGAATTATTATTTCAAAATAAATTTAATAAAAAATTGAAATGTTGCGTGCATGATTTTCATTGGTTAATTTCACTTGACCAATGATCGGATTTTTATCTATGCTACGAGTTATTTAATAATGAAGTAACATAACAGCAATAATATCTTAATAGTAAAATATAAAACATAAGTATCTCTTAAAATAACCTCTTTCCAGTAGAATAATCCACCTGCTTCCAAAACTAAACCTTTCATTCTAACTAACTCAATTAAATAATTAATTACTATCTTGCCAAGGGACGCCTTTGAATATACATGCAGCCCAAATTGGTTTGGTGATTTTGATGGTCAAAAGTATTCATTACTGCTGGTTTATTTTTTTTATTTTTTAAATTTCCCCTTGTTGATCATCTCAAATTAATGACACACTATTTTTAGTGTCACAACACTATAAACTCACATGACCCAAACGGTTAACAATAACATTCCTTCTGCAATAGCTAAACTCACTAGGATAACTATTAAAGAAAATGAACAATTATGTAAATTATACTGTATGTTTGCTATTTTTAATTTAACATATGTTTTTTTATTATAATCAGCACAACAAATTATAATTAATAAATTTTTATTGAATGGTAAATAAAGAAAACCTTGGCATTTAATCAACACCCCAAGTAATAATCATATGAAATCTAGGGTCTTCTGAAGCAATAATTCATGACGTGGGGCATAATATTAATTTGTGATTCAAAACATAATTCATGACACAAGACATATAGTTTGTGATGCGAAGCATAGTTTGTTAGTTCTTATTATAATAATAAAGGAAGACCCTAATTGTAATCAGCAAGAATTATGTATTTTATCCTATAGCAATAATCATTAGTATAATTTGAAGAAAAATTTTTATTAAAAGAATATTATAAATTATTATTGTTACCTAAATCTATTTAAACATAACGTTCAACTTATTGCATTGCATATTGTCTCATTTCCTCTACCATCTACAATTTTTATTTCCTTCTACATCTCCTCCGCTAGGTATGCCAAAAGTTCGGTTGCAACCGGTTATAACCGGTTTTTATCAGTTTCGGTCACGGTTCGGTTTTGGTCTTAAACTGACCGGTTAACCGTCGGTTTTATATGATAAAAAACCGATAGAAAACCGATCAACTAATCGTTCTGCTTGATATAAGTTTAAGTTTGATAAAATAAAATAGCTAAACCCCCTATTTTTTTAACGAATTTCTTCACACCTGTAGAATTTAGATGTTTTCCTGCTATTATTTAAAGTGACGTTACATTGAGTTACCCCAACGTTACATGAATTATTCTGTCAATTAATTACTTTTTGATAGGATAATTTTTATTAATTAGTTAGAAATTAATTGGAATCTGTCAGTATTACACTTCACTATTCTTTTTTGTTTAGTGTGTTTTAGAAGCAATAATCATTTGCTAAAAAATTTTGAAAAAATCACTTTTTGGAAAATCTGAGGCTCTACAATTCCAAACCGATTATAAACAATAATATCTTTCTCTTTTCTGCAGAGCTCAAGAATTGAGAAGAGGGATGGATATGAGCAAGCTTGAAAATAATCATTGTTTTTTTAAATTTGATTTTTAGGAAGGAATTTTCTGTTTTTCTTGGGTAACAAATTTAAAAAAGAATTATTTTTTTTTTTCTGAATCGAACCACTAAACTTCTCCATGTGATAATAATAAATAATAAAATGAACTATTTGTTCGATTTTTAGTATT